CCCCCCCCCCCCCCTTTTTTCGGGAGGGGGGGGGGGGGGGGGGGGGGGGGGGGGGGGGGGGTAGTCATCGTTATTATGCCTTAGTGATTAGACGGTTGACCACTCGTCCTTGAGGGGACGGAGCAGGGTAGTGTGCGTACAAGGGCGGCTGCTAGGGTCTTGTGAGGGAGGGTGCTGTACACCCATACTTGTCACGAGCATCTATGACGTTCAATCTGACCACACCATCGCCCCTTACTCGGCCTACGCGGTATCCAGTGGGCTAGGGACGGTGGCTGGGCAAAGAGGGGGAGTCGTATCAAAAAGCGTGTTTATCGTGTAGGGGTATGGCAGGCTCTCCCGTCACCATCAGGGGATGTTGAAGCCTTCTCTATCGCAAGTACAACAGCTGCCAGGTGTTGAGCCTAGAAACACGATGGCGATCAGTGGCCAACCCTGCAAGGGTGCCGGGAGACGCTGCCACGATATACCATTGCTCCCAATATATTGCAGCACCGTTTACTTTTCGTCCCGTCTACTCTGGTACCGCGGTACGGAAAACACAGAGAACCATTCATCGCATGTGGTGCAAGGCGCGCATGACGTCACGTCTTGGTTTGTCGCATGATGGCTAAACCGTTCTCACGAGAAAAATCAAGGCAAGCAGCGCAGGGAGAAAGGTGGGGCACCAAGAACAAAAAAAGGAAGGCGGTCCTGTGTGACCTTCCTCTTGAGTGACCCCGGCTGATACGCCAGACATTAAAAATATCGGTGTTGACGTGTAGACTGGTGCAACAATAAACGGGACGAACACACACACACTCACGATCGATCATGACCACGCTCTCGTTCTTACCGCCGCTCTTCCAAGTCAGCCGGTCCGAGCCCCACGGTCGAGCTCCGGATGCTGCTCTTGGGGGGGAAGGGCGGGGTCGTCGTGCGAATAACCCGCGAAACGCGCTCTCGTAGCTGGTCGAACTGCGAGTAGCGCCTCAGCACACCGTACTTGTAACCGTCGTTCATGGTGATCTGGGCGAGAGAGAGGGCGGAGAAGCAGCAGCAGCCCGGGGTAAGCAGTTGTAACTCGGCGTAGTGTCCGGCGCACATTTTCGAAAGGGGTCCCAAAACACCAGATGACAAAGGCGAATTCTGAAGGGGGGGTGGAGGAAGATGTCAGAGAGGGAGAGGTCTTCGAGCTACTGTGAGCTGCTGGCAAGGTACAGTATCCCGCCGTACGTGCAACAACTCCACTCTATGGAAGCCGCAAGGCGTGCACAGTCACGACGAATTCAGAGGAGGCGTTAACGCTGCTCGACGGGGGGTTCAGAATTCCTGCAAGAAATCGAGAAAACGTCTCGATCTTTCTGTATTGCTTCAGCACAAAATCTCTCAGCATGGACTTGTTGCCGCGACTATTCCAGTACTGGCTTTCAGTCACTAACGGAACGTGTCTTCGTTACCCAAGAACGGTGCGTGACAACCATAGGTACGGTCGCGCTGCCCTGTGCGGAGATTTTCTTTTCTCACAGCTTCAAGCCCTCGTCCTAGATCGCTAACCGCGACCGGCGCCCTACAGCCTGCCTACGGATAACCAACCACTGATTCAGCGTAGCTCCCACCGTACACATCACACCCACCCATGACCGACCGTGGTAGATTTTGATTTCGAGACCTTCGGCATGGAGCTATGTCTCTCTCTCACCTGCACTTCGAAGAGCACCTCTCCCCCCTGTCCCGTGCGGTACGACGCCAAGGCGACCCGCATGATGATAAACGGCGTCTCTGCCGCTCGCACCGCCCTAGGCGGCGCGTGCCCTACTTGCCCTGACTGCGGCTCCTGCACGACGTAGATGTAGCCGGCTGGCGGGGGGGGGTACCTGCGGTGCGGGGGCGGGCCGACTACAGCGGCGATGGCTGCTCCGGTTGCCAAAGCACCCACCAAGCCTGGGAACAAAGGAGGGGGGGGGCGTTGTGTACCGGTGATGCAGTTTGGATAGGGATTAAACCATTGAAGTACGGGCACCACGAGCAGAGGTGATTGCTACAAGCCGCGCGATCCACAAAGTGATGGATACAGCAGCAGCAGCAGCAGCAACAGCAACAGCAGCAGCAGCAGCAGCAACATCAGCAGCAGGGTAGGCGTATGCCTATCTGCACGTATCTCAGAAAATGTCTTCGTTTGCAGGAGGACGGGTGAAATTGCTATTGACTGCGCATGTACTCTGAATCAGGTTACGCGATACAGCAGCACCCGACAAGAAACAAGAAAGAGCCAGTCCGGGTTCTTCAGAATTACTGACACGGGGCCGACAAAATCGGAAAACGCGGTTGCAGCAGCACACCTGACTGCTGTATCTAGATAGATTGAGAGCGAATGAGATTCGCAGGAGAAGGACAATCAACACGCGGACGTGTGGCGAAGGGTGCTCTCAGGAGAAGCGAGAAAAACTCTCGCTCAAAGCCTGCTGGTTCAGACAAAAACGCGACTCTAGGAGGGCTGTCGTACACGCACGCACGATACAAAAAACAATAAACCACAACAGCAGTCACGCACAAGTCTACACCAGTGCACAGACTCATCACGTCACAAGACCAGAGCTTGGCCCTTAGCTTACCAAGAGGCCCCGGGCCTGGACCAAACAAAGGACCACCGAACCTCGGCCCCCATCCGAACCCTCTCCCGAATCCTCTCCCGAATCCTCCGCCGCCTCTAAACCCGCCGCCGCGGCCGAAACCTCCAGGGCCAGGCATTGTGGCTCAAGAAGATGTAGATGCCGGGTTGTTGGTCTTCTTCTACGTGCGCTTGCTTCAACTCCGTGTCCAGCCGCAGTAAACTCTGCAGCAGCAGGTGCTCCTCTCTTGAAGCGCAGCTTTGGTTCTTGTTGAAGTCCGCCGCTCAGTAGGCCGGGGTGTGTGTTGTATTTTGGATCAAAGGAACTGAGGAGGACCAAAGGCAACTGATGACCAACCAGGAGAGAGCGAAGATACTGGGCAAAAGAAGCAGGGCTCGCTGCTTCCGTTTTCTAGCTTGTGGAAGGGCGCGTGTGCTTGGTTTGGCTTGCGTGTTGTTCTAGAGGCGGAACGTGCCGCGGAACTGTGACTAGAAAAATGAGAAATACGAAATACGCGACGGGGGTGACGGGGGCGGAGCGGAGAGATTGATGAGGTTCCCCCGCCGCGGGGGGAGATTAAGTCAACGAAGCTCGTAAAATGCACGGAGGCGTTTCGTAACAAAAAGAGAGGAGGCTGCAAACGCCGCGGGATCCACACATGTCGGCGCGTGCATTGATCGGCACCACTGGGGCTAAGGACAACCGCTGAGGTGGAGGCTGCTGTAGATCGCAGGTGGGCTTCTTTTCAGCAGCAAACGGCAACGTAAACGATTCTTGGTGTACTACACTTGCAACTCTTCAGAGGACTGGTCCGCGGAACGTTGCCTGCTGCAAGTTCTCACTCGTGAGTCGTGTTAAAAAGAAGTGAAAGGTAAACTACGCGGGGTGCAGCAAGCACGTTCTGGACGTTACTTGGGGCACTGGGTAGTCGGCCGTGTTAGGCCGAGAGAGAGAGAGTGAGAGAGAGTTGGAGAGAGAGTGGGAGAACGAAACTTGATTGGAGAGAGACGGTGGTGGTGGTGGAGAGAGAGAGGAAGAAGTGAGCGCAGCACGCACGCAAGCTTCATCGCACCAACCACGCCAAAAGGGTCCCCGTGACTGCACCGATGGTACCCTGCAACACACGAAATTCCCAACACGTATCCCCCTGGGATCCTCACGACCAGATACTGCTGCGAGTATATCTAACATCCCCCCTGCTCGCAACAGTTACTCACTGAAAACTTCGCGAACACTCGATATCTCAACCAAAATACATCTCTCCAAGAATATATGCCATCAATACTCGACCAGAATAACATAAGAGGGAAAAACAATTCAAAGGAACATGAGTACTGCATCGCGCGTAACAAATACTTGGCGCGGGAAATGAAAGAAAACAGGAAACAAAACGAGAAACAAAACAAAACCAAAACACAACCCATCAGAAAAACAATAAAAATGTTCATGCCAAATTCATTGCAAAATCACGGTGAGACTCGAAAGCGTCCTTCGGCAAGCTCTTCGTGAGAAAATCTGCACGCTGGTAAGGAGACGGCACGTGGATCACCGAAATTTCCTTCCTCTCTACCAGTTCCCTGAGAAAATGGTGCCTTACATCTATGTGCTTCGAGTTCGAGTTTGAGATGGGGTTCTGCGCTAGTTGAATCGCCCCCTGGTTGTCCTCGAAGACAGGGATGCACGGCATGCCGACCTGCGGCAACATGAAACGCCAAATCTGCCTCAAAAACGAAATCTCCTTCACTATGTCACCAAGCGCGACGTACTCTGCTTCTGTCGTCGAAAGCGTGACGCACTTTTGCGTTCTGGAAAACCAAGACACAGCGCCTCCTCCACACGTCACGATTCCCCCTGATACCGACCTACGGTCTGCTGCCTTGCTTGCAAAGTCCGCATCAGCGTACCCCTGCAAGCTGAATCCTTCTACTGTACCCCTCTGAAACGAAATACCAAAGTGACTCGTCCTCCTCGCATAGCCTAAAATATCCATCACTGCATTACAGTGTACCAGCTTCGGAGATGCGCAATACCTAGCTACTGCCCTTACAGCATTCGCAATGTCTGGCCTAGTTTGAGTCGCCAGCCACATCAACGATCCTACCAGCTCACGAAACGGAAAGTCTGTCGCCACCTCATCCGCATCAAAATCAGAAAGCTTCACCCCGGAAGACATCGGAACGCTCTTACCTCCCACTACTCCATATTCTGCTGCTAGTTCGTCCGTGAAAGTCTGCTGAGAAATCGTCAACCTTCCGGTCTCCTTGTTCCTCTCGTAAAAGCACCCAGAATACCATCTCAACTCTCCCAGGTTCTTCACTGGCACGGACTTGTCAAGGTCGGCGCCAAACTTGTCACATCTCTCCCTCTCTCCCACAGCAAAAATATCATCTACATGTACTACCAAAATCAAAACAACACATCCATCCTCAATCAAACGAAACACACAAGCATCGGCCATGCACTGCTCAAAACCTAACGCCACTAAACACCTCTTCAGCATTGCATGCCACTGCCTAGATGCCTGTCTCAAGCCATACAGACTCTTGCCTAGTTTTACAATCATCCCAGATAGAACTCCACATCCCTGCGGCAAACGCATGTACACGTCTTCCTCCAACTCCGAGCGCACAAAAGCTTGCTCAATATCGAAATGACACAAGTCGAGATTCAACTCGCACGCCAACGCAGCCAACATCCTAACACACGAAACAGAAACGGTAGGCGCGTACAGCTCTCCAAAGTCAATGTACTCTCTCTGCATATCACCTCTCGCTACAAGTCTCGACTTCACCTTAGTGGGCCATCCAAATTCATCTGCCTTCCAATCGAATACCCACTTAGCGTTAATTGCGTTCTCCACTAGTTGCTACTTCGCCGGAGTAAAAGTCCCTGCTTCCAACAAGCCATAAAACTCCGTTTGCATAGAGTCGCTCCAAAGGTGCCGGTGCTCCGACGCCATGGCCTCTTTGTAGCTCTTGGGGACACGAAGGTCGCTGGCCTGGCAGTGAGGAAGGTCAGGGCGTTGCTCCGGCGGGCGCTGGTCTCGCAGCGTGGCGTCGATGTCTTCCCGGTTGGCGAGGAGCGTGGCAAATGCGAGTGGAAAGCCCGCTCCTCCAGCCCCCGGGTCCACCGCTGCGAGTGCTCCCGCCTGTTCTCCGGCCCCCGCTCCTCCCGGCTCTCCGGCCTCCGCCCCCCCCAGCTCCCTGCGCTCCTCATCCACCGCGCTCCGAGCCTCCAGCATCGACACCAGAGTGTTCTTGTCTAGCATCGAGATGAGTCCTGTGCTGTGCCTCGTGCCCGATCTCGTTCGGCTTGGCAGCCGCGGGTCTATCATACCCTCGGCCTTTGTACCCGGGCGAAGCTGCCGCATGGCGTGAGCCGTAAGCGGGGGCATCGCGGGGTCCGGCGGCGGCGGCTGGTCTGGATCGAGGGTCGCCAACGGTGACGGCGAAGAGGCAGAAGACGGCTGGCCAGGGGCGGGGGTCGCCGACGGTGGCGGCGAAGTGGCAGAGGGCGGCTGTGAAGGCGTGGGAGCGGACGGCGGCGTGGTCGCTGGCGGCGGCGTTGCGGCAGGTGGCGTTGCGGCAGTCGAAGGCGTCGGTGCTGGGCCAAAGTTGATCGAGACGACCGGCGGCGTGAACGGGGGGGGTGTCGGTGCAGCGGTGATACCAGCGGAACCCCCCTCGCCGGCTGGCGCCGACGTCACCCACGACACGTTGTTGGTGTAGACGACGCGACCGGTGGACGCCTTGAGGACCTTGACGGTGCCGCTCGGGTGGTTGTCGCCGCCGTGCAGGTAGTAGCAGAGGGTGGCCTGGTCGTCGAGCTTGGTGCGGCGATCCTCGCGCATGAAGCCGGGCTGGAAGAACGGCAGCACGCGGAACGGCCCTTGCTCGCCGGTGAACATCTCGTGCGGCGAGCGCCGCCCGGGGTTGGCCTTGGTCGCCGACTGGTTAAGAGCGTCGGCGGCCCACTTCGCCGATTCCATCCAAAGACGGTCACCGCGCTCGTCGAGGCCGGGGATGGAGGCGAAGTCGACGTTGAACACACGGCCAGCGCTGCGGCGGGCGGCCATGCCGGCCTTCATAATCCACCAGATGGCGCTCTCGACGACGCCGTTGTACTTCGGAGTGCCAGGCGGGGTGAACTCGACGCCGATGCCGTTGTCGTCGCAGAATTGCCGGAAGTCGCCACGGGTCCACTCGGTGCCGTTGTCGACGCGGAAACACTCGATGCGCCCGAGGTCGTACCGCCCCACGTCCGCCAGCAGCCTTTTCGTTGCCGCCAGCGCGTCGGACTTCCGCCGGAGACCGTAGACCTTGTTCCACCGCGAGGCGCTGTCGACGGCGACGAACAGGTAGAGGTTGCCGCCCAGGGAAGGCACCAGCGGTCCACACAAGTCCAGGTGAACACGCCCGAGTGGCTTGGACGCCCGCGCTCCCGGCCCCCGCGGCACCGACCCTCGCCTGCCCTTCGCCTTCATGCAGTCCGTGCACGGTTCCAGCTTGCCGGTGAGCACGATGCCTCTCTGCTGGGCGGTTTCTCTCAAAAGGGGCTCGCAAGCGTGGGCAAGGGAGCGGTGGAAGCGGTTGATGTCAACGGACTTTTCAGTCGAACCGAGAGCAAACGGGGACGCACCAGGGCCAAGCGCGGCCGCACCCAAGTCAAAATCAGCACCCCCATCAATGCTATCCAAAACAGCAGCTACATTCGCAGCATCAGTCTCAGGGATAAACGCGGGGAAAAACTCTTGATACGGGGTGTCATCATAGCCATCCATGAGCTGCTCGTCGGTGAGCACACTCGTGTCTCCAAGATCCATACCCGGAAAAGTACCCACACACACAAACTCGGACGCCGAAGAAGGTACTACGCCGGCAGAGCCGGCGGGCGGGACGCTCTCACTCGCAGGTACTACGCTGGTGGGACCAGTGGGCGTGACGCTATCAGTCGAAGGTACTACGCTAGCAGAGAAAGCGGGCGTGACGCTCTCACTCGAAGGTACTACGCTAGCAGAGCCAGCGGGAGGGAAACGCAACACGGACACCAATGATTCCGCGGAGCCCCCTTTTTGGGAAGGGGAACGCGTGGAGCCAACGGCGGGGGCGGAATCGGGGGCAGTCACGAATGCAGGCAAAGCAGAAGAGTCTACTATAGTTGCAGATGGGTCGTATGGTAACCGCATGGCATATGCTGCAGACGCTTTTTCCTCCCTAGCAAATAGCAGTCCATTTTGGAGGGTTGCACCACGCTCGTCGTGCAGGATTTGTTGCTTTCGAGAAACTGCATGCGTTGAAAACAAATTGAAGCTCAGGTTCTCTACTACAGACACGTCAGTCAGCTTAACACACATCATCGTTTTTTCGCCGTTCTCATCCTCCTGAAAGAAACTAAGGTTGATGCTACCGATA